TTGATTAGTCTCAAATATTTGACCAAGTTCAAGTCAATGTCGTTGATGATGAAGGAAAAGAAAGTGAGATACCGGTCGATTATATGTTGAACAACACTGAAGATGATGATCAAGAGCCATTACCTCTAAGTCATATATATTTTCCGCCTCAACACATGACAAACTTGAACTTGAATGAAGATGAGTGTGTTAAAAATGGGTGACAAGTTTTGCACAAATGAATACTGCGTGCTAGCTATAAAAAAATTTCACATGGAAAACTCTACTGATTATGTTGTAGATCGCATTGATGTAGGAAGGTATGTCATTCTATGTTATAATGAGATTTGCATGGTTCAGATGGTAGCGTCTTACAAGAACATAATTGATTCATGGGAGATAAGTTCTATGGATCCACCTCACAGTTGCACCCCCACTAATCTTCTATAGGATCATCAAAAACTAAGCTCTGAAATAATATGTCAAGACATATTACCTCTTGTTAGCAATGACCATCATTGAAGGTGACAATAATAATCTCCCATATTCTTACATGATACAACTATACTCCCTCATACAGGAAAGCATGGATTATAAGGACAAAGGTTGTTGAACAGGAATACAAAAATAGGGAGGGTTCGTACAAATAACTTCCACAATATTTTGTAGGAATTATTGTAATTATAGAGATGCTGCCGAAATATATACAGGATAATTTTGGGAGTTTCAACCATGCGTAAAATGTTTTGCATTCAGCAAACCTATTATTCAAATTGATAGAACATGATTGTACAGGAAATATAAGGGCACATTAATTATGGTAGTGGTACAAGAAGGAAACATTAATATATTTCCCATTGCCTTTGCTCTAGTTGAAGGTGAGGCTGGTAGTGGTTGGAGTTTCTTTCTCAAGAATCTCAGAATACACGTTGCTCCACAACTTAATCTCTGTTTGACTTCAGACAGACACACACCTATTGAGAGTGCATAAAATAATTTTGATAATGGTTGGTAAAATCCTCCTTCTACCCATGTCTATTTCATTAGACATATTGCACAAAACTTGATGAGAGAAATCAAAGACAAGAGTCTTCGGAAAAAAGTTGTTAATGTAGTATATGCTTTGAACTAGTCATCATTTAGACACTACCGCGAGGAAATTAGATTGTCAAATTGTGGGTCGATGGCAGAGCCTCAAGTTTACAGCAATTTGAATTAGTATAAAAAAGGTTGTTGAACCACATAGACCAAATAATGACTATTGGATCCTATTTTATCGGTGTAAATCTAGAGCGATCAAAAGTTGGCTTTTCTAAAAAAACAAACTGAATTAAAACGAGGTAAAAATTATAAGACAAACAAGACCTATGGTTCATGATTCTTTCTCAGACATATCCAAATTTTCCTTAATTTCAATTACAAGAAATTCTATACGATTATAGAAAAATAGATAAATTTGGGTAACACCTACTTTCTTCAGTGTGTTGTCCTATCTAGGATGAATAATTTGTCTGCTATCGCTAGCCTGAATTATTCACCAGCTACCAATTATCGCACGACTATAAAATTTTGAACTTTTCTCAACTGAGTTTGGACACTCTTATGACTCGTACTCAGTTGTTTAGTAATTTGTTATCGTGTACTGAAACATACCTTTTCTGTGTATGATCGGTACCTGGATAATCTTTACTTTCTTAGGAGATATGGTTTTAAAATTCAAATTCTAAAATAAAATGTAAATAAGTTTCTCGCAATCGATCAGTGATAATTCTCTTGGATGCTTCATGAGTCAAGTCTCATAACCCTTAGTCCCTAGAGGGTTACTCACTCATAGTGAGAAACATCACAGATAGAGCATATATCAAACCAACAATCATAATTAACAATGAAAATTAATAATTATAACAATATGGTAAATGAAACCTAGTTGAAGACAAAGTGACTTGAGTAATAATAATAATAATAATAATAATATGCTCCAATGAGACTTAAGTACAACTCTTGTAATGAACAAAAAATAAATCTTGTTGAAAATGAAATTAGGGTTGCAATATATAAACTAAAACAAGAGATATCTAAAACACATGCAATCCATGAGATTTTATAGAGAATTCTCAAGGTGGATGGCTTCAATTTCGTGTTCAATACCCATTAATGGGGTTTATTACATAAAAAATAGAAGAAATCCCAAAAGGTAATGGAAAGACAGATGGACAAAAAAATTTGGAAGAGGCGCACATCTGCTACGGCCTATAAGAGTTGTTATGGTCGCCTATAATAGGCCTCTAGTAAACATATGGGCTTGAAACTCTTGGTTGCTACGGCCCGTAACAGCTGTTACGGCCACCTGTAAGAGCCCTCTGAAAAATGCATGGCAAAAAGTTAAAACTTAGTCGTTTTTCCTTATATTGCTCCTTTCGGTTCCTCTTTCACCCGTGACACTTATTCAAGCCTGTAAACATTAGAAACAAACTACCTAGCATAAAACATGATAAAAATAATGATAAATCATACAAAAACAAGAAAATAACAAAGGGAAATAACTAACATTAACGATGCAAAAACTATTTATCATTCAACAATATTTCAGTGAAAAAGTGGACTATGGCATTTGACGAGGGTTGACAATGAGGTCATATGACAACAAATCTTGTGGAATCAATGAACTCCATCTTCAAAGGCATTAGAAATCTACCCATATCCGCGTTGGTGAGAAGAACCTATTTTAGGTTAGGATCATTGTTCGTAATCAGAGGCGAAAAATGGAGTTCGGTGTTACAATCAGAGAAATTGTTCAGTGAAAATTGCATGAAAGTGATGAAGGAGGAAACTATCAAAGCTAAAACACATGTGGTTACATGCTTTGACCGTGTTAGTGTAGAAGAGACAATGGACCACAATGAGGAGAGACCAAAGAGATACTATCAGGTGAAACTACGTCGAGGTTGGTGCGATTGCGGAAAGTTTTAAACCTTGCATATGCCTTGCTCCCATGTCATATGACATGTTCAAGTCTTCTCCAAGACGTTTTCTTGTATCTATCTAACGTTTACAAAGTCGTAAATGTATTTAGTGCATACAACAATAACTTCTCTGTGGTAGCAAAAGAGGAATATTGACCTACCTATCAAGGGGATGTAATTTGGCACAATGAAAATATGAGAAGGAAGAAAAAAGATCGCCTCAACATCATGCGTATTAGAACCGAAATTGATATGGATGAAAAATTAATAAGATTGTATGGTATATGTTGTTAGCCCGAAGACACACAAAAATGTGGTCCCAGGAACAAGCTATGCATGATAATTTATTATGTTGTTAAAATTTTTGTAACATTGGAATTTAATATAGTTAACAACTTTTGGTTACAACAAAGCGAACATAAACATGCATAAAACAAAACACACAAACATAAACACGCCTAAAACAACAAAACAAACGAGAAATAAAAAGACTTAACACAACAACATATCTAAGAGATTACAACAATAAAAACAATATAATTTTGTGTAAACATTATATCCCTAACATCACTGGCATTTTAATTGAAACCTACATACGCTGGATATCATCATTGTCATCTGCAATAGAGATGTATGAAACAAGTTGCTCAATACTTCTAATTCTTTAACCATCATTAATCTTTTTGTCTAGGCAAAAGACTAAATTCCTCTTAAGTTACTTGAAACTCCAAATATTCTAAAAATACATCTTCATAAAAGGCATGAATACTTTGAAATTTAATGAAGAAAGATGATTATTTGGAAAATTTTATTAGAAAATTTAGTAATTTCAAAAAAAATCTTTTATATTACCTTACATTCCTTATTACTAGAATATCATAATTACAAAAAAAAAATTTTATTCCTGTTATAAAAAAAATACTATATCTTGACTTTATCATATAAATTAATATCTGATACGGAATTTAGGTTTTAAAAGAAAAAATAGAATTAAAAAACAAAGTATAATAAAGATCGGAGCAAATATTTGTGGTAGGCATACAAGTAATCCATCTATTTTATTTTTTTCTTTGACCATTTTCATTTATTTATCAATTTTAAAAAAATTAAAACTTAGCCAGCAAACAAACTGTATGAAAGATTCATTTCATGCGCGTGTTGCAGTTGAGTTGACATATTTAATAATCAGGTCGGCTCTCATTTTGTAACCGTTTTAGAAAATAATCATAATAATATTCCTCTTTCACCGACCAGAATTCCATAACAAACAAGCAAGATTTTCCCAATCAGAAAAAACATAAAATAAAATAAAATAAAAAATAAATAAAATCGAAAAGAAAGGGTTACACTTACACCTGCAACGACGAGTAAGGAACATTTGCGGGAAACAAGACAAAACATGGACCCCACAAAGAAAACACCATCGCCTGAGTAAAACAAGATCAAAACAATCATAACTGAAACCATGATTTTGTCGTTTTCCATAACTTTGAACAACGAAACTCACTCTCCCTAACAACACACACACCACCACTTCTATTAGGTATTTTCGTTTTTCTGTTATCCGCTACATTTCGTTTTTCATTACATTCCTTCTCACACAAGCCATTTTTTTTCTACGGTTAGGTACTTTGTCGCGTTTCTTATGTGAATTTATCAAAAGCTAAAAACTACTTACCAACTTTTTTCTAACGCGTTTTTTTTTTTTTTCTTTTTTGCTTTTCCCTTATTAATTTTGTTGGAATTTTCCGATTTTTTTACAATTTTTTTTTTGTTAGCAGTTTCATGAAGGTTAGTAAAAAACAATCACTTTTTCTTAACGCTCAAATTTCATGAATTAGAGGAATTTTAGCTTTTTGTTTTTGTTATTGGTTTCATGTTTTGCTTGTGATTAATCTCTTGCGTGATTTTTGTGATGTTAATTATAATTAATACACTTATCTTGAGATTATAGATTTCTTGCTGCTATATGGTTAGCTTAAAATTATTTATGTATGATGTGTTCAGGAATAAGTGATTATATTGTGTGTTCAAGTGTGGCGGAAAGAAGAAACGATTATGTCTGAGAGTGATGTAACGGCGATGAAGGAGACGCTTCGTGCGCAGCAGCAGCTTCTGCAGAAGCTGTATGCGGAATTGGATGAGGAAAGAGAAGCGTCGGCGACGGCGGCGAGTGAAGCGATGGACATGATATTAAGATTGCAAGGCGAAAAAGCTGCGGTGAAGATGGAGGCGAGTCATTATAAGAGAATGTCGGAGGAGAAGATAGGTCACGCGGAGGCGACGCTAGAGGTTTTCGAAGAGCTTATGTATGAGAAGGAAATGGAAATTGCTTCGCTTGAGTTTCAAGTTATGGCTTATAAGCATAAGCTTCTGACGCTAGGTGTTGATTTTAATGCGAGTGAGTTTGAATTTCCGGAGGATCTTCTCTTGAATCGAAATGATCAATCCGGAGAAAATGGTCAGTGTAGTAGAACTATAAGAAGGCTTAGTTCGTTGCCGCCTCTTCCGTCTAAGAATACTTTGCGAGGTAACCGGAAGAGAGATCGATCGCCGAGTCCACTTCCAGTTTCAGATATGATTCCTAATACAGATGATGGCAAGGACCAAGAAGTCATTTCGCCGAATATAAAAAAACCTATGGACTTCACATTCGGAACACTTGACTCGTATTGGAACCAGATTCAAAAGTTAGATGAAAAAGTGAACGGGATATCGGATTGTAAAGAATCGGGAGTTGAAAAATATTCAAGCCTCAGGAGTAGAAGAGGGAGGTCGTGTTCGATATTTTCACAAGGTTGCAGTAAGATAGCGATCGATAAAACGTATATAGTACCTTCTACTACTAATGCAGATAAAGAGAATCACGTCGAGGGAACACATGATGTGGAATCGGTTGCTAGTCCTTCTTATTCGGTTAACGTGCACGATGTATTCGAAGTTCCGCAAACAAGTGAAAAGAATGAAGAGAATGAACATGGGAAAAGAAGTCTTGAGAAATGGATTTCAGACGTAGATTGCAGATTGATAAAACCAGACTCTGTGTCCGAGGAAATCATAGAATCGCATGTTAAGCACGATATGGAGAAGCTAAAGAATGTGATGCTTAGCGCGCGTCATGAAATGAAAAAATCAAATCATAAAGATATTGTCGATTCCAACGCTGAAGCCGAGTTTCAAAAGTTGCATCAGAGAATCGATAGGCTCGAGAAGGAGAGAATTAGTAGTACAAGGCAAGAAGAGATTAAGCGTGACGGCTATGGAGAAGAGCATTTGAGATTGTTGAAGGATATTCAGAGTCAACTCAATTCAATACAGTTAGAGATAAGAAACAGTAACAAAACCAAAAAAGCCTCGCCGAAGAAGGACGAGGACGTTTCTTTCGGACCTCTTCTTCCCGAGGTAACTTGCTTTTTCCTTTTCTTTTCTTATTGAAGTTAGTTAATGTTTCTTGAATTATTTTTCTTCGACGGTGAAATAATTTTTTTAAATTTGTGTGAACAGGCAATGTTGTACTTTTGGATGTGATCGAATTACTAAAGAAACGACCATCTCAGATTCTCAAAAAACCGATCAACTCAGAGCATTATTCGGTGTACATATTATACTTTGTTTACAAAAGGGATTTTATTCGGTATAGGCAAGGTAACATAGATCTTATGAACTGAATGTTGAATGTTAGTTACTGAAGAGTGTATATGTATACCATTTCATATAGTTGGGTATTTTACGATAGACAAGACACTGACATGTGATGTGAGTTTTTCGTGTGATTCGACATAGTAGATTAAAAATGTCATGCGGAATTGGCGATGTATTTTTACAGAAGTTATCGTATGTATATGGATATGTGTTGATACCTAATTCAGTCAGCTAATTCAGTCAGCATCGATATTAAAGAATTAAATTGTCTTCTCTTGCGAAAAAATTAGTGAGGTGATCCTTCAAGCTCCCCGTCTCGTATGCTACATCTAGCATCGTCGGTCTTGTTGAAGGGTTCGGTTGCGTGCAGAGTAGTCCTAGTTCAATGAGTTCCAACACAACATCTTCCCAAATTTTGTTGTCGTGCCTTGGCGCACAAGAAAGAGAGAATCTTTGAAGTGCTTGTTCAACAATGCTTTCAAGTTTGTGTGGCTGTGTGTATTGTCTCTTAACCCAATCATGCAAGCTAGAGCCTTCATGGATGAGGACGTCGGTAGGGCGTTTACCGGTCACTATTTCTAACAGAATTACTCCGAAACTGTAAACATCACCCTCAGTTGAAACATGTTTTCCCATTCCATATTCTGTCTTGTCCAACAAAATAGAGTGATAAAATAAAGTCAAAATGTTTTCATATAAGCTATAAACAGTTTTCATAAGTTATTCGGAAGAGCTTATAAAAATAAGCTGAAAACAAACATATGACATAGAAAAATGTTGAATTACAATTCAGAAAGTACATACCAGGAGCTATATAGCCAACGGAGCCACATAACAAACCATGTGTTGAACTGAAAGATGTCGAGTTACTGCCATCGTCGCCTTTTAGAACCCTCGAAATTCCAAAATCCGAAACCAAAGCCGTGAAATCATCGTCTAGTAGTATGTTACTAGGCTTAAGATCACAATGCACTACTTTCACAGGAGAGTAATGGTGCAGATAACACATTCCCTCAGCTACATCACTGCAAATCTTAACCATTTGAGTCACACTCAACCTCTTGCTTAACTCATTGTTTCGATCATATAAGTTCCTCTCAAGACTTCCATTTCGCATCAATGGAAGAACAATAGCCTTAAACTCCTTCTTGCTGCAAATTTTAATGATCCTTATTAAATTTCTGTGCCTTATCTTTTTAAGGATTTGGCATTCTCGTCTAAAGCTCCGTGATATCTCACCGTCTGGCGTTGTTGTTGTATCTAATACCTTAACTGCTACTCTTGTATTATCTAAGAGTACACCTTTGTAAACTCTTCCGAACCGACCTGAACCGATGAGGCTTGAACCAGTGAACCCTCCGGTAGCTTCTCGAAGTTGTCTATAAGAAATTCTTGGATACCTGAGCTCTTTTGTTTCGTCTTCTTCTCCATCCTCCATGTCACATCCGTCACTAACAGCCCGCAGTTGTTTTCTCACTTTTGACTTGATTATCATGGAGTTCCTACACATGCATATCATAGGTGTGCCAAAGAGTAACATAGGAACTAACAAAAGCACCAAATGGTAACTTTTTTTCCTATGACATTGTTTCATGCCTTTAAATGGACCACAGAGATTATCGTTTCCTAGAAAAGAGTCTGCGGTTAAAGACGAAAATGCTCCTTTGTTTGAGACATTTCCTGAGAATTCGTTGAAAGAGAAGTTAAGTGTTTTGAGATAGGAAGAAAACTGAAGAGACTCTGGTATTGTTCCATTCAATTGGTTTGAAGATACATCAAGTGATTGAATATAAGGCAATTGTCCTAAAGAATTAGGGAGAGGACCCTCTAAGGAATTGCCAGAAAGATTTAGATATTCTAATGCTATGCAATTTTCAAACTCTGGTGAGATTCTTCCTGAGAGATTATTCACGGATACATCGATAGCTAGAACCATATCCATTTTGGTTAGTTCTAATGGTAAAGGACCTTGTAACTCGTTGTTCGATAAATTCAAGTATAGTTTCAAGCTACTCAATGCTGCAACTTCTGAAGGAATCATCCCTGTGATTCTGTTATGAGACAAGTCTAGAATCTCCAAGTTCGCACAGCTTCCTAGACTAGGAGGAATTGTTCCGGAAAGTTTGTTGTCGTAAAGTAAAAGCCTTCTTAACTGAGGGAGTTTGGAAAAACTATCTGGTATCGTACCACAAAGTCTGTTTCTCGACAAATCAAGTAGTCCAAGATGCTTGATGTCGCCGAGAGTTGAAGGAATTTCACCAGATAGATAATTGTTCGACAAGTAAATTCTCTCTAGCCTAACAATCTTGCATAGGCTTCGAGGGATTGTTCCGTTAATTCGGTTACTAGACAACTTCAAGAAAGTTAAATTGACAAGGTTGGAAATCTGAGGTGGTATAGAGCCATGTATGAGATTCTCTTGTAGGTGAAGATGCTGCACGCCAGACGAAAGACTACCTATAATACGTGGAAGCTTCCCGCCAAGACCGTTTCCGGCCAATTCAAGTTCTTGAAAGTTCGACGAGTTCATCAAGGAAGCAAAGAAAGGTTCAAGGTTAGTGTTCCCATCATGGCTAACAAAATAGTTATATGATAAGTAGAGGAATTGCAAATGTGGAAAATTACATATAATCTTAGATGGAAGTTCACCACTCAACATGTTTGACTCCAAATCAAGCCATTTAAGCTTGGTAGAGTTTGAAAGAGCCAAAGGAACTTGTCCTACAAGTTTGTTAGACCAAAGTAATAGAAACTTAAGCTCTTTAAGCACACACTTATTATTGTTTAATGGAATCTCTCCCACTAATGAATTATTAGAGAGATCTATGTAACTCAATGAAGTTCCATTACATAAAAGTGATGGAGGAATCTCTCCCACAAGTTGATTGCTTCCCAAGTCAAGGTAATACATGTTGTGCAATGAACCAAACTCTAAAGGAATGTCCCCTTGAAGAAAATTCCAAGATAAACTAAGTTCTTGAAGATGAACTAAATAGCCTAATTCTCTTGGAATGTGACCCGTCAAATGATTTCGAGAAAGGTCGAGAATTTGCAACGAAGAGAGGTTAGCAAGAGAAGGAGAAATAGTTCCTGTCAATGATCTTCCACTTAGATCAAGCTCAATGATCCTTCTATTATTACTTGCATTGTTGCATTTCACACCAGACCAATCACAAACATGAATAACATTCGATTTCCAACTCGTTAGCGCATTTTCGAGGTCGAAAACAATGCATGACATGAATGAAACTAGTGCGTTTCTATCATTCACAAGGCCAATATCAATATGTTCCTCCACAAGAACTCTAGAATGAGTATGAACAATGACAAGACAAAAGAACAGAAACATAGTTAGTTTAAGAAAACACATCATGAGTCAATGTATTGTAAGTGAAGGAAATGTTGGAAGAAACTGAGGAATGTGTAGCTCTATAAAAAGAAGGAGAAGTGATGAAAAAATTGACTTGTTTCATTGTTTGTGCCTAACTGAGGTTTGGTGATTATGATGTTTGACTTATAAAAAATAAGATATGACACGTGAGTAGGATTTTTGGCTGATTAGCATTAATAGTAGTGGATGATGTGCTGTTAATAAGGATAATCTTGATTAATATGTGCTGACAATGTTGATATATTGGTAAATTTGTCGGCTGTAATGTTATTATGTTTGATTTGGTTACTAAGAAAGATGTGTATGAGTGAAATTTAAGCATTTTTTTATGGTAGAAATGTTACTACTACATGCAATTTGGCAAAGATTCAATGAATTGATTCATAGATGTCTCAATTATTCGAAATTGCAACTCAACTAGAAAGAATAAAAAACTAATCATTTTTTTGGGTCTTGTAGATTGATGCTTCAAGTTTCACACTTAGAAGATAATTAAAAGATAAATAAATGGAATGTTATAGGTTTAAACTCACCTTCTTCCCATCCCAACGAGTCTTTGCATAATTATCAATCTAAAAGGAAAAAAAAAACTAATCAATTTAACAAAGAAAAAGAAGAAGCTAATGTGAAATTTGAAATGAGACAAAAAATTTCCAAATTTCATTGCGATTCCAGTTGAATAGCTCTCATTGCACAAACAAACATGTCTTGGGCCAAGACTGCTTTTTGACATGCGGGCCAAATGAAGGAAAATTTTGAGGGAGTTTTTTAATACGTCTTATATATTATTAATGTACCAATTGAAAATACTAAAATGTTTTAAGATTTTAGAGATATATCTCTGAACCCATCCTGAATAGATAGAACTCTAAGTTTAGAGTTAAAAAATTTCGAAGATACATCTTCAAATATATTTCGGAGATGCATCTCCAGAACATATTGAAGCTTAAATTGCGTCAAAATCCTTCTCCTTTCTCATTTTTAAAAAACGTAAAAATTTCCCGAATTTTCATCAACCAAGTCCAAAATCAAACAACCAAATTCAAAGGTCCTTCAATCAACATCAAGTACATCAGAGTCATCGTCCAACACTAAAGTAAACTTTAAATTTGTAAGTTTTTGATGTTTTGAAAAGTTTTTTGAGTTTTTGTGTAAATGAGTAGAAATTGATGATTTAGGTAATAAATTAGTAAAAATTGCATGAATGATAATTTATACATACTCTAATACACGTTTGTTGGTTTAAAATAACGGTAAAACCATTATTTTTTGGGTTTGTATGTCTACATTGCTGCCATTGAAGGATGTGAGAGTTGTAGAAAATTCCGGAGACAATGTCAGAAGAAGGGGGGGGGGGGGGGGTAGTGGATGCCGAGGAGCAAGAGGAGTCAAAAGAGATGTAGTCTGATATACACAGTAGTATATAATAGTTGTACTTTGAATACATTATGGATTGTATTTTATTTTCACTTCATTTTACTTTATCATGCATTTTGACTTTATTAATATATGTCATTTTTGGACCATCTAGATTTATATATGTCATTTTTTCCATATCAAATGTATGGTTTAAATCTCACGACATAACATGGTACTTAACATTTATAAATCATCACTTTCATTTGCGTAAATCATAAAACAAACATAATCTAAATTGTTCTGATATAATACAGAGATGCATCTCAGTAAACCCTAAATGAAGATGCATCTCAGAAAAAAATAAACGTGTAAAAATTTTTTTAGATTAAAATGCATGGTGTATGTTTTAAAATATTTTAGAGATATTCAGATCAATTAACGTTTTGATTTAAAACAAGATGCATCTGGAGATACGTCTTCAAAATTTAATGGATAATTTTGATTTTCCATAGTGTTTTTCCACCCCTAGGCTACCATAAAAAAATTTCAATTTTAAATTCAAAACAAGCCACCCGATTATATATTGGTCTGACCTGATCAAGAGGGATCACGGACTGGCCACGCTCCGCCGGACGGTTATCTGTTCGTCGGGGTGAGAAAGAGGAGGGGGTGTACCTGCAAAGTACTCCGACGCCCAAGTAAGAAGTTGGACAGAGAGGAAGCAATAGTACAGAAAAAGGGGCAAGAAGAGTTACCTGACCCTCTTGAGGAAGAGGGTATTTATAGAGAGACCCCAGCGCTGGGCCAACGGTCATTCGAGGTGGGCCGGACGACCAGGCCCAACCCTAATGACTGCTAGGGCTTACGTGGCGTAGTGAAGACCAGGACGTGGTCTTCGCCCTAGTTCAACCGCTCCTAGGTCTCCGGAAAGTGGGTTTGACCTGCTCTTTCGGAGGTGGGCGGTTGGCCGATGACGTGTCCCCGCGGAGGGGAGCACGTGGAGAACGTGGGCCGAGCACGTTATTCTCCCCGCGGAGGGGAGCCTGGGTGGTCCTGCTCGTCCGGCGTGACGGACGACAAAAAGGACGTGGAGATGTAGCTTGTGCTCGGTGGCCAGCCCTGCTCGTTCGAAGGGGCGCGTGCCAGGCGTGCCCAGTTCGCTTGTTGGGCCGCATTTGGTATTGGGCCTGCCGAGGTGAGGCCCATACCGGAACAGGAGCCCCCTAAGTCGAAGCTCTGGGGAAGAGCGAGGACTTAAGGTCGTCGTGTCTGGAGCGGGGACTCGCACGAAGGGCTCCGGTCGTCGGGAGAACGGGGAGGAGGCAGATGAAGGGACACGACTGTCAGGTTGCCGCCACGTGTCTTGTGTTAAGCGGTCGTAGGGGCGGCTAACCTATGTCATTAATGAGCCTAGGGTCACTTCGAGTTCCGCGCCGGGTTATAAATATGGCGGTCCTCGCTCATTCGGTTACTTTTCTCCCTGCTAATCTTTTATCGTCTCTACTCGTCCGCTGCTTGCCGCCGATCGCCGCCGTACCGTTTGCTCTTTTCTTCCGTCCGCCGCCGTTACACGTGAGTTCCTCTTTTCCCTCTCTTTTTATTTCCGTCGTCTAACTGGAACGTGTGGTCGGGGCGGGATGAACGCCCCGAGGAGGGACGCGAGTTCCGCCGCGTCTGGCGAGTTTTCCGATGAATGTCCCGGGGACGGTAGGCTAGTTCCGATGAATGCCCCGAGGACGGGAGCTTTTTCTGATGAATGCCCCGAGGACGGGGGCTTTTCTCCGATGAATGCCCCGAGGACGGGGGCTTTTTCTGATGAATGCCCCGGGGAGAAGTACCTTCTCCGACGGCCGTCCCGAAGGGGGTGAGGGGTCGTTCTTCGATCCCCGAGGAGGGTAGACGGGGAGCGAATGTCTGCTCGTCGCTTCTCGGCCTTTGTCGCCCTTTCACTTGACTTGCGGTGGAAGGGTGGATTTGATCCTGGCTATCGAATTCACCGATGTCCTCTGCTTTCAGGTGTAGATGTCGGCTCTGGTGCCGGGGATAATGGTTGAAGATAATGAACCCGAGGTCCCGGAGTATGACGACGAGCGTATCGCCCCGTCCGAGGAGTGGGCGGCCGAGGAGCCACTTTCCATCCCCTCTTGCTTTGTGGTCGACTCGTCCGACGTGTATGCCACGGTCGAGGACACGCCGATAGGGGAAACGCAACACTGGCAGGTGTACCGCCCGAAAGAGCACCACCGGATCTGTTCGCGATATGGGCGGAAGATGTTCCCGATGTATGAATTCTATTTTAAAGAAGCTCGGCTCCGGTTACCGTTTTCCGCCTTCCATCTGGGGCTTTTTGACTGGCTGCGTCTTGCACCGTCTCAGCTGCACCCAAACGCTTTGGCTTTCATCCGGGCTTTCGAGGTGGTGTGTTTCTACCTCTCGGTGGAGCCGACGGTGCCGTTATTTTTCCGCATCTTTCATTTGCAGCGGCAGATGGTGCGAGGTCGTCACAGATGGGTCTCCTTCAAACAATCGACCAAAATTTTCAAAGCGTATAGCGATTCTGTCAAAGACTTCAAAGGTCGGTTCTACCTCGTCAAACCGATCACGCAGCACGGCTCGGACACTCTCTTTGACGAGGGCGAGCGCACGGTAGATGGCCAGCGGTTCCGCGCGTGGCTTCCTAAGATACATCTACTGTGGACCGCGGAGCATTTCAGTCGAGGGACGGATAGGTATATCGTCCGGGCGGGGACCCTCGAGGAGAAGGACATGGCCGCTTATTTGAAAATAATTGCCTTTGTGCGGTCACTTCCCCCGTCGAAGCTGGTGGCGCCCGACGGTCGGTACATTCTCGACGCCCAGGGGAACATACGCACCAAGAAGCGTTTGATAAATACTAAGACTTTGCTCGGCTGTGCGACCGGGGCGGCCGCTCTGGATTATCTAGGTAGGGATGTTCGTTTTCCCTCGTGGTCGGGGTTTTTGATCGTCACTAACCTATTTCTTTGTTTTTGCAGCGAACATGTCTACTGTCGACGAGCGGGTGAAGCAGTTGCGCGCTGCCAGGAATGCCGTGGCCCCGAGGACGAGGGTGAGTCAGCTGGTCGGTCAGGAGGTCGCGACGCACGGGGGGCAAACTTCGTCCTCGTCGCCTCAAGAGAGCCAATCCCCTGTGTCTCAAGGAGTGTCGAAGAGGCAAAGGTCCGAGGAGCCTCGGGTGGTGGATCTGACGGTCGGCGCCGTCGAGGAAGGTTATGTCGTCCCTCCCTGCCACCAGCACCCGGGATATTTTCATGGTGCCCGTTCCCCCACTGTTTCCGCCGGGGAGGTGAAGGCTGTTCGCCAGGCTGATCGGGAGACCCGTCGACGTGTCCTGGCTGAGGACTTGGCCGCGATGATGCGGACGTTTACGACGGCTCTCGTGTTGAACGAGGAGGGCTGCTCCGCTGCTGAGCTGTCCAAACTGCAAGGGGATCTCACTTTCACGCAGTCGCGGTTGGCCAAGCTTACTGAGGAGTTGGAGAAGAGCCAGAAGGATGCTGCCGAGCAGCGGAAACGGGCAGAGGGTGCTGAGGGGAAGGTGACTTCGCTGGAGGAGAAGCTGGGGACAACAACGGCCGAGGTGC